CCTAGATCCAACCCAGACCCACTTAGTTCCCTAGGACATGAATCAAAGCCAACGATACAAATTGCACAACAGGGCAATGGACGCCAAGGTCGACATGGCTTCCGACGCCAAGTTTTTAGCCAACATGAATGCCAACAACGAAAATATGAAGGTGTGCGGTTAAGGGATGAAGGACATGAATGATGTGATAATGTCTTGCTTCGCCAAACTGGACATAGCGCAAGAGTCTGGAGCGCGAAGACCTGAGCCCTGAGGCATAGGCTAAGAAAGGTGCTTCTTTTTACACAGGCTATCTTAGTGAAATTGACTCGCTTCCAGGCGTGCTCGAGAAAAAGAATTACATAGGTGGATACCTCTGTAATAAATTGACATGTCCCTGTTGTAGTCTCGGATACCTGGTTCTGTCTGGCGGTCACTCACATAAAGAGAATAGTAGTGATTTATTCCGATAAAATCAAAAGAACCCTTGATAAGTTCAGATTGGACTTTTGTGAACGATGGAAGACGAGAGCCAACATTTTTCTTCATCATTTCTGGGTAGTCCCCAAACACCAAAGGCTCTAGTATCCTGTCAGTATTGCAGTTAGGCTCCCAACATGCATAGTTCCCATGTAGAGATGGAGATAAATATCATACCAGCCAAACATGAAGTCCTTGCATCTTTGAGTTGCTTCTAAATCCGCGGTGGAATCTGTGAATGGGTAACTCCAGAAGGAGTAGATATTTATGCCCACAAGTCCTTTTTGCACAGCCTGCATCCATAAGTTCCTTCAGTGAGACCACACTCTTTAGCTATGAAGGAAAAAAGGGAATATGGTGCTGAAACATCAAACATGCAAAAAAGATGAGTCATGAAATGCTTAGCGTGTAATGGAATGAAAATTTTGGCTTCACCAACGACCTAAGCTAAGATGTTAATAAAGCTCACGGTTTGTGAAGAAGCTAGCCGCTAAGATGCTAAGTCACTCACTTGATACTTTTCTCTGTACAGTCTGGCAACTGATGCATGCGCCAATAAGTAAGTATGAACTGCTATGTATGGTTCAGTGCTGGAGTTCCCAGCTGTGCACTTTGTTATTCCAAATGGATCTGAGCATCGACCAGGTGGTAATTGACCACTGCCGTAAGCGGCAACTGCACCAATGTTTGGCTCGTTCACTGTAGTCCAGTAAGTGACTCTGCCTCCAAACTCCCTGAAGCAAACATCCGCATATGCCGTGAAATCTTCGCTGCATTTTGCAGATACAAAAGTATTAATAGGACCACTGCGTTTTAATTATGTCACTGTTACTACAAATTGCCGCTCCGAGAGAAATTATTTATTTGTGAACCCTTATATAAACTTACATAATTCTGGGGCTTAACCATCCACCATACTCGTCTTCAAGAATTTGAGGGAGATCTAGATGGTGAAGTGTGATGTGTATTTGAATACCTGGACAAATAAACTTCGTTGGTGCATACCTAAGCCATAACTGCATTTGGATGCTCAAAGATGAAAATATATACTCCACTCGCTCTGCTATGTCTGTCCTAAGCCCACCAGGCCACCACACACACATACAAAGAGAAAACTAATTCTACAAAAGAGTTAATGAGAAATGAGTATGCATAGCCTTATCATATGACATGTTACAACCACATGACCTCTTCTAAATCATTAAAGTAGGGGTAGAAGCATTGTATCAACTACACTTGATTCCCTGAATGGACAAATATTTGGTGGAGACTCCTGAGGCCAAGGACATGTATAGAGAAATAGAAAGAACAATTACCATGTTTCACAAGCTCATCTATGATGTTATTGTAGAATTGTAACCCTTTTGGATTGACAGCTCCACGCCCATCTGCAAACCAGAAATTTTGCTGAAATAGTTAGAAAAAAACGAAATTGAGAAAGGGCTTTTTGTGATGGACCTTGTGAGGAATTATGTACTTGGAATGAGCCTTGACCAGGAGATGGAGAACCTATAGGCCTCTAGACCTGTCTCAGATATGAGCTTGATATCCTCCTGAAATATCGGAATTACTAAACCTGAGAACTGCTGAAGTATTACTACAGTTGATACACCAGCAGAACATTTTGCTCTTATCATTTACCTTGTATTTATGGTACCCATCTGCAGTAACATCTCCTATGCTTTGGTCTGGCATTTTACCTGTCAAAACAAATCAACAGCAGCCAGCTTGGTCAACCTGTGCGGCTATGATTACCATGTCCAGTTTAGCTCTGCTTTAACAAAACAAAACAAAAATGTTTATGTGGAAATGTTTGTCCGAGAGGGAACTGGTCCCAAATTTCTACTGCATTCATCAGGAAAATGGACCAAAATTTGTGCCAAACTCTATTTGTTAGGCATTTCAAATACAAAAACTAAAATAAACACATTCTTTATCAATTCCTTTTACGAAACCTGCTGCCGAAAATTTAATGAGGCGTGGCAGCACATCAAAACCAGAAAGATAAATTGCACTAATAGATAGTAGCAACTTACCTGCATGAGTGAAAGTGTCCCAATAGCTTGGCCTCCTGCCATCCTCAGCAACAGCACCCTCATACTATATGCAAATGAAATATCTAAATTTAGCAGACGATGATTTTCAGGGGAACAAGATTCCATCAGCTTACTTGATATGCTGAGGTTCCAGATCCAAATACGAAGTCCTGGGGAAAATCGCTTCTTGTGAAGCCAAGAATGGCAGCTGCGCCCTGAACCCAGAGGGACAGCAGGATGTACAAGAAAGCAGTAGCACCCATGTATCTATCCTCTTGTGTTGATCTGTGCCCTTTGGGGAAGGATTTATGCCAACTCTCCTCAACCTCATCTTCATACAGCCAAATAAATACGGTAGCTCACAAGTGTAGGCATGTCCAACTGCCATGTACACCGTGCTTGCTTTGCCTTCATGCCTGTCAGACCCTGTACAAAGAGACGGAGTCACGCACTTAACTCTTTATTTAATAAAATAACTTATCCTGAGTCAGGATACATAATTTTTCCCCGCTCATTGTCTGTGCGTCAACTGGCCCTTCAGGACCGCACGATGCCCATAAATAAGTTGGCCTAGTGCGTCAGAGATTAGCTGGAGACTCAGCGGATTAAGAAAAGGCACAATTCAATAATGAAGCCCCATGCTGATCACAAGGATGGCAGGAGAAAGGATCTTTTGTTTTTCTAGAATATGCGCCTGGAAAGTGCGCGTCATTTTGTATTAGAAGAAAAAACCTCGAAGCAACGCAAGTCTTACAGCAAAAAAATACGAAAGGCAAAGCGAAATAAGCAACAAAATAAAATATGAAAGGAAAAACTAGCAAGCGAGGGGGGAAACTGTTCAGCTATCCTAGTTCCTTAGGGGAGAGCTACGGGAGCACACCCACAGGAGAAAGGAGTAAGGATCATGAGAATGCATAAGTGGATATTGTGCCAAAAACTATGACCGGGGTGGATATTGAGCATCAGCATCTACCTGGCTGTCCTCTCCTTCAGGTTCTTGTTATGGCAACAATAAGTTGCAGTTGAACAGCACCAGCAGTCGCTGCAGAAGAACAAGCAGTCGCTGCAGAAGAACAAACACTAACATGTGCAGAAGAAGTGTGATGGGGTTCATGTGGCTAGCTTGCATTCTTGCCGCCGGAGGACATGAAGCCGCCGTAGATAGCCAGTTGACAGAGAAGGCACTGCTGTCAGACGTTGAGGGCTCGAGGCAGATCCTTCTTTTCTTTTTTTTCTCTTGCACACTCACAAGCACTTACACCAGTAGGAGATATTAGTATCTTCCGACAGTGCATAGATCTGCATTTTCCGGGGTGTAAGCAACTCATGGAACCAACCATTTCACTCTATTAAGCTCAAACCTGCTTCATTGTTGGCTCCCTTCACCATCTTCTGCGGAATGGCTCTTGCATCTTTCCATCGACCATTGACTGCATACAGGCAGGCATAACGCCCACCATGTTGCGTCTCTAGCTCAATGAGCCACTTCCCTACACGTTCGCCAACAGCATTACAGCAATATTATTGTGCATCCGGCATGACGGCATCAGTGCACCCCACTGGGATGCACATGGCTCCATTGGCATATCCAACAGCAGAGTCTCAGCCTCCTCCACGCCATTGTCCTGCACGCCCAAGGGGATCAGCTAGGCACCCATAGTGCTCCCTCTCTGGCTCGAATCGGTGGTTATGCATCGACTAGAGCATTTTTCCTCCCATAATTCACACGAACTGTGTGGGTGCACGTGCACAAAGCCGCAACAGACGACTGGTTATGCACAAAACCCTTTCCGAGCATCCTCTGGAACAACTCAAGTTCACGCTCACCATGGCCATTCATTGCAAGCTCTCCGGTCACTGAATTCCACAGCACAACTTCACGGCGGCGAACGCAGTCACACACCACGCCTCCTCCATGCACCCACACTTGCAGTACATGTCCACCGGCGTGGCCTCAACCATGCCATCCCTTTGCCTCCCTGCAAGCCCTCCATCTCCAGATACCGACGGACCCACCAACCACACTCAACAACACAAAGACGGGAGCACGGTCACCAGGACCGGCACATTCGGCATGAAACCACCCCCCATCACCCGATCAAACGCGTGCAGCGCCTCGCCGAACTCACTCCCCTGCACGCGCAAGCGGCGTGTCGGCCATCGCGCTCCGAGACAACGCCATGTTCGGCTCGGGCATTCTTGCAAACACTTCCCGCGCTGCCGGCAGGTCGCCGCTCTTGCCATGCGCCCATGCCTGGACGCCATTGCGTTCAATGAGGCGGCGCCCGGGTCGAACACCTTGCGCGCGTGGGGCCGGAGGCCAAGGGCGCAGTAGAGCTTGAGGAGGGAGTTGGCGACGACGGGCCACGCTCGCGAGCGCGCCGCACTTGAACGCAGCGAGCAGGAGGAAGGTGGTGGATGGGTAGACCGGGTGGCGGCGCGGATGCCGGGGCAGCCGCGGCGTGCGAGCGGGCAACCGTGGGAGGGCGCCGCAGAGAGCGGTCAGCTCACCATTTTGGTCTTGCGCTTCGCGTGATTTTGGCCAGCGTTGTGAACAAAAGAAGCGTCCAAACAGTCAGGAGTCCGCAGTAGAGGTTGGCGAAAAAAAGAGCTGCGTCTGCCGGGAGTCGAACCCGGGTCTATTGCTTGGAAGGCAATTATCCTAACCGTTGGACTACAGACGCTTGCTGTGCCAATTTTCACGATACAGCTTAGTTATAAGCGCGTACTTGCAATGAGGACGCAAGCAAAAGACCATTACGCTCTACACCCAGGCCCCCCATCATCATTTCAAAAGGATACAGTACTAAAATGGCAGGTGTTAATATATATTGTACCATCCAGCTTAGTCTTCTGCGAGTGAATGTTTGATTATGTAGAGTCCATTACTTTTTTTTGAGGTGAACTAGGGATTTATTCAACAATCACAGAAGGAATACAAATAATGTGTGATGGGTTCCCTAGCCACATGTGGCGCCCAGCAGGGAGTGACGAAGCCGCCTTTGCCAAGGCGTGTGCTTCAAAGTTTGCCTCCCTATTTTCAAACCGGAAAGTAGTGCTAACAAAATCTGTAGCTCTATCTCTAATTTCATTCAAAACTAAAGCGTAAGAAGAAGAACTCGAAGCTCTGTTGATTTCTTGTATAACTTGAGCGCAATCAGACGCTATTATTGCATGTGTCAGAATCAAATCTTGCGCTAGGGCAAGAGCCTCGTTGCATGCTTGGGCTTCTAGGCATGGAGCGTTAACCAGCCCATCAAATACCACCGCCGATGCTCCAAGGTAATTGTCGTGTTGATCCCTGCAGACAGCGGCTGCAGCTCCCGTCGTGCCCTGGCGGGAAATAGCACCATCAGCGTTAATTTTCACCGCGTTTACTCCAGGTGGGATCCATGTGCGAGTTCTTTGATTCGCAGCCTGTAGCTGTCTCGTCGATGTCCTTGTGGTGGCAATTTCCAAATCCTGCAAGTATCGGTTTACAAAAGCACATCGTGGACATGGGACTTTGAAACTCATCATCATGTATCGCTCTACGACGAGGCCACCATATTGCCCACATGGTAATCAAAACTCTCGCAAGGTCATGTTGATTCACCGTGTCAAACAACCAAAACAGCCAGAGCCTCGCATCGTCACTTTTGTTAGATATCGCATGCTCAAGAATCTCCTCATCTCCGAGCGCCCACACGCACCGCGCCATCCTGCATTCAAACAAAAAGTGGCACCACGAATCAACCTCCTCTTCACATAGACCGCATGCTGCTGTTGCCGCCATTTTGCGTTCATGCCGTACTGAACCCGTTGGAAGAGACATATGTGCCAGCCGCCACACAAAAATCTTGACCTTTGATGGAACTTGCACCTTCCATCCACGATTTCCCTTCAGCTCCTGTATTTGAATGACCCGGCCTATGCTCGAGCCAATCTTCTCATTGATGTTTAATGCCACTGATCATTCTGTACGCCGACTTAACAGTGAACATCCCCCTTCTGTCATAATGCCACGCCCAAAAATCAGGTTGTACCCGCGAGCTCAATGGGATATTCATTATTACTTCCACATCCGGCCCTATGAAATGCTTCATTAGCAGCTGCTTGTTCCATGTTCTGGTCGTCACATCAATTAGTTCAGAAACATGTATAGGTGGATTGGCCGATATGGGGCATATCGGTTTCAGCTTGTAGTCCCGGGGAAGCCAATTATCTTCCCATATGTGCGTGTCTGCACCCGTGCCAATTCTTTTAATCAGTCCTAGGGTCAGAAGATCCCTTCCTTCCACCAAAGATTTCCATACTTGGGACGGATGGGCTCCCAAAACTGCATCAAGGATGTTACCGTTTGGGTAATACCTCGCCCTTAGCACGCGCGCACTCAGTGACTCAGTATCCTGCAAGCAAAGCTAGGTTAACGAGCTCGATATCTCTGAATCCTATTCCGCCCATGTGTTTTGGTTTGCACATTGTCTTCCATGACACCCATGCAGGCTTTCTCTGACCTTGTTTACATCCCCACCAAAACTTCCGAAGAAGACTGTTTATATGTTCACTGAGGCTTCTGGGTAGTTTGAAACATGACATCGAATATGTCGGGATACCTTGTGCGGCGGATTTAATTAACACCTCCTTCCCCCTGCAGACAAGCATTTCTCCATCCAGCCCTGAATATGTTTCCAAATCCTATCCTTCAGATATCGGAAACTCCCTTCTTTGCTTGTGCCTACGTCCGTGGGTAGGCCTAAATATTTCTCCGAAAGTGACTCGTTCTGGACATCCAAAACATTCTTTATCTCATTTCGGGTGGCTTCCGGGACACCCTTACTGAAATAGATTGAGGATTTATCCATGTTAATTTTCTATCCCGAGGCATCACAATAGGTTCTTAAGAGATCACGAACCCGAGCTGCATTTTCCCTGTTAGCTTCAAAAAACAAAAGACTATCGTCTGCAAAAAGGAGATGATTAATAGCCGGTGCTGTATCTGCACCAGAAAGTCCTCAAAGACCCGCACTTTGGTCTTTCAACAAGCATGATAGTCCTTCCGCAGCCAAAAGAAATAGATACGGGGAGATTGGGTCCCCCTGCCTCATTCCCCTCGAGGGGCTGAAATCTTGTAGACTTTCCCTGTTAAACAGAACCGAAAAAGATACGGAAGTGACGCACCTCATTATTGTTTCAGTGAAACGAGGGATGATGCCCAGTTTCAACATGACTGCTTTAAGATATGACCACTCCAACCTGTCATACGCCTTCATCATATCCAGCT